TGAAGCTGCACCACAGTTAGCAGTCCTAAGATGTCACTGCATTTGAATGGCTCAACAGCCCAAGAACTAAATATGATTAATACTCCCATCTTTCAGAAAAGGGCTACTGAAATACGGTCTGCATTTTAATAGCAAAAGGGAGAGTGGGTGATAGGGTACAGTACCTGTTGGTAAGACGTTGTATAAACCATAACGTTTTGCTGTTGGCCATCTGTAGTTATTAAGCCCGCTGGCAACTGGTTAGCTGAAAAGGAGGAGCATTGTAAGAAAGTTAGACAAGAAGTGCAAGATGGAGGGAGCCTTATTTGAAGTGTTTAGCACCACTGAATAACATCTGGTCCACATCCAGCCAGGGAGGAGGGAACAGTTCCCCTCGTGACAGCTACGGACCAAACTGCTATGGTGACATTTGTTACTAGATGTTCCATGCGTGTGAGTTTATTTCCATTAACACTTAAGAAAAATTCAACTTAAGAAAAAATTGAAGTGGAATTGCTGGAGGCAAAGGTCCTGCCAGGGAGGCAGCCGACGCGAACACAGCGCGACCTGCAGGGTACTGAGCGAGAGCTCAGAATTCCATATGGGGAAGAAGAGGCCATAAATGGAGTTAAAAGCACCCCTGACACTTCAGAGACAAACTGCTGGAGTGATATTTTAGATAAATCCTTACAGTCACACATGTATGGAGCTCTGGCATTTAGAGTACGTATGTTACAATTGCTGCTTAGCAGCAAAGCTCTTAAGTTGTAAATTAAGCTGCGACAAACAACAGGATTTTATTTCTTTTTTTTAAGCACAGCTATTACTACGCATGAATCAGAGGCAAAACCCAGGAAAATCTCAAAACACCATAAAACCCTAACTGCTGTGATTTGCAGGCTGACGTTGCTTTCTGCTTTTTCTTGCCTTCTTTCCTTTCTAGCAAACACAAGCTGCCGTGTGGAGCGATGCATTAAGGCCCCGGGCAGTAACGGCTCTGGCAGCCCTAAAGTTGTGAGTGCCCTTAGGAGTGAGTGAGGAGGGAAACCCCTGCAGCGCGCCCCGGGATCACCTGTTGCACAGCAAATCCCCCCTTGGCCTTCCCTTCTGCTCCTGCAATGCGTGGGTGTCCCGCCAGGTCTTAATACTCTCTTCCAGACTTGCTCTTTTGCAAGCACAGCAAGTCAAGGCTCGTTTCACACAACAAACTGAGGCCCCGAGGCCTGAGATACCAGAAAAAAACTGACTAGGAAGAGACCTTCAGGCGCTTAACAGGCACTTAATCAACTCATTGATTGACATGACAATAGCTACATCTCCTAATTCTTCTACCAGCTTCAAAATTACTGGTCCTTAGCACTTGCTACAGTCTTTGCCTGGGGTTTTTAAGAATTCAGCATCAACCAAATCAAAGCCATAGTAAGACCCTGCAAAAATCAGGTCTTATTTCACAGTTTAAAAAGTACAAATAACACAAATAAGCAACCCCTCAAAACAAACAAACAAAAACAACCCAAAATCCCGGCCACCCTTGAATTTTCAAATCATCATGTTTTATTTGACATTTTTCCCTGACAATCTTGCAGGAACAGTGAAGCCACTAAAAGAAGTATAATAAAATTTCTACCCTTCATTAGCCTGCATTTAAGTCTAGAGAGAAACTACTAGCACTAATTTGTACCTGTAAAAGTCTTCTGGAGGGTTTTAATCAGAGCACAGACTATCATCTGAGCATCTCAAATAAAAGTCTCATTGGATCATGTGTGTCACCCAGATGGTCAGTCTGAGATTTGCTCCTCAGATACCAAATCTGATGTCTAGAGGAAGTGCTATTTCTAGGAGAGCCATAATGACAAAGTCATTTGAAAAGCATTACTTACTAAACGCTTCCTCTGTGAGCTCCTCACTTAGGCCATCTCCAGCTGTAACTGTTCCCCCAATTCCCTTTTCTCCTTTCATTGCCTGGAAAAATAAAATAAGAGCAGCATCTGTATTAGAATACAGTCACTTGATATTGTTTTGGGAAACTACTAGTGAATTTTCTGAACTTGCAGAAGAGCCACTGTGCAGCAGTAGGAGTTTTAAATCAAAGATTTATTAAACAAAAGAAAAAAGGGAACAAAACACAGCAAAACCAAAGCTATAATTTTTAAGGAGGTGCCCAGTGTAACAGTATGTAAGTGGTGCTTTTTATGTTAGCCATATTTCACAAAAGACACTGCAAACCAAGACTGGGTAGTTCTAGGAAAGGATCGGCAGTTCTGCAGAAAGCAGAGATCTACAGGGACAGTCAAAGCATTTTTACAAGAAATTAGAGGCTCTCAGAACACCCAATAAAGTGCAACGTTTGTTTATGAACCACGTGCAAGTGCCATCATCATACAAATAAGAGCTGACATTTAAATCCAAGATATTGGATTTCTTCCCCCCCAGCAACCACTGCAGCCTGGAGTATCAGCGGAGAGCGCCAAGGCCTCCCGTCACCCCAGCAGTTTTATAGCTAGGAAGCTTTATGATCTTTGCTTTTAAGTATGAACATCCAGGAAAACATTATGGCTATGAAGAGTGACCTCTGCAACCATCTGAGGCTAAATAGCTACAGAAGTGTTGCACTACACACAGCGCTCTGTAGACAGGGCTCGTTGAAATGGAGGATGGAAAGCGATGGGCAAAAACACCCAATTCAAATATTAAAACCCAGCACCGCTGCTCTGCTACCACAACATGCACATCTGCAAGCAAACTGACATTTCAGAATGAAAGTAAAACACACTCAACTTCAGCCTGTTCACAGAGGTACTGCGACAGGTTAGGCAGCAATTGCAGTTTTAATTAAAGCGCACACACAAGCGGCAAAAAGAAAGCGCACTGCAGCGAGCCCGGCTCCATGGCCTGCATCCCCTTTCATTCAGTTCAGCTCCCTCTAGTGCTCCATCCCTGCCAACAACCTGCGGGGAAAGAAAGTTCACCTGCTATCAGGCAAACTAAACAGCCCCACCGAGCCTGACCCCACTAATTGAAAATGATGTTTATTCAGAACTAAGTGCAAAGAACACCTCTTTCTACAGTAATTTAGAAATCTCAGCTTCACTCACGCCAACAAAACCGTGCAACCAGTCTGGCACATTCAAAACATGGTATTTGTTGGGGGTTCTTTCCACAGAATTGTATTAACCCTAAACAATTTCTCCATTTGCAGTCATGAGGAAGGCAGGTCACTGGAGGGAAACGTCTTGGATTTCCTAGGTCAAACGTGATAGTCTGAGATAACTGAACACCCAGGGAGAGAAGAAAGAACAGATAACTCTGGTCTATAGACAGCAGGAGGAAAAAAAATGTCAACAATCCTCAAACAGAATCAAGATCTATTTCAAAAAGTTTACATTGCTGTAAGTCACTTTCTGATAGGACAGAAGTAAAGACAACAGCTTGTATCACACACCAACCTTGTGCAGAATATCTAAAGCAAAGCAACAGGCTAAACCCCAATTAACCAACCACTGGAGCAGACAGCTTTTTATGTCTGAATAATGGTTCACATAGGAAGGTTTTTACTCTTGCAGATCTGAAGCCCAGCACAACAGCAGGCATTAGGCAGATCTACAGAGGATGCAGGTCAGTACAGTTTTATTAATTGTACCTAAAGCTTGAATTAAACATTCTTAATAAGTACCTTTAAAGAACGGCACAATTTGCTACAAGCAACGTATTAGAAAAGTTATTCAGGGGAAAGTTTTAACTGCATTGAAACAGTGAATCTAATCAACAAGCTAACTTATTCCTTCTTCTTCTTCATGGCCTCTGGAAGGCTTTTAAAAATTACAAAATTACTGTGCAAGTTAGCTGGTACTCAATGACAGGCAGCTAGGAATAAAAACACTGTGATTAAATCACGGAAAAAAATGCACTTTACCAACCTCTCTGAATTTCTGGAGGTAGAGCTTCAAAGGCTCCACATAGCTATCGAATCCCAAGGTAGACATGGCGAAGAGAATATCCTCTCCATTGATGGTCTTCCTTTTCTCTTGGTGACACCTCTCGCTTGCTTCCGACGTTATAAAGCTGATGAATTCACTCACACACTCTTGTACACACTCCTTGGCATCCTTAGCAATCTGATAAGGAAAAAGCACCAGCAAAAGATAAATGAAGATCATCCTTAGGAGCAGAGTGATCAACGCTCAGAGAATTCACCTGCAGTGCAGGTCAGCTAACAACTCCTGGCATTTTGTGGTTGTTGTACATCCTCCTCTCTCCTGGTCCTTAAGTTCTAGTGCATCTGAAGATTGCTGACATGCCACTTTCAGGTACCCAGCATGGACCTTCACAGACCCACCACCTTCAGTCCCCCCAGAACACACTGGAGAATATCCAGAGAATACCCCAAACCTGCTAACACCACCCATTCAGATAAAAGCTGTATGTGAAGACACCACTCGCCGCAGGTCACCGCTGCTCTATGTAAGCACAGCTGCAATGCTCTTGCAGCAGTTTTACCATTTCGTGCTCTTAAGTTTTACTGTTTCAGCCTGAACTCATAACTGCAACGTGCACAAGCTGGCACAGACACAGGCAGCACAGGACTGGGCTTGGATTTGCTTACCCACCTCTTCTCTTTAACCCTGCTCATAGCAGGGCCACGGCCCACCCTCATGTGTCTTTTAATGCAATCAGCTGCAGTGCATTCCCCAGGCTGGGCAAGGGCACATGTTTTTATCCTCACCGGATTTCAGGGACTAAAACATATGGCTAGCAGCAAGCCTCTCTAACTCTTTAATACGCTGGTATAAATTTCCTAAATGAGAATTCAAATGAACAAACACATACTGCAGGCAAGAATGAAATAAGTAAATTTGATTATAGCTTTCAGTTGGACGAAAGTAATTTACTCGACTTAAAATAACAGCAAGTGTTGCTCACAGTTATTTGGAGAGTTAACAGGAGCCAACTGAAGGATTAAAATGACAAAGATTCTTATTCTTAAAATGAGAACAACAAATTTGTACTAAAAAAAAAAAAAAAGGCAGAAACAGTATCTTCACTAGTTCCTTTGATATTTTCAGACATGAGGCCAGAATTTCAGAAGTAGTCATCAGCCAACAGCTTCCCTTGCAGTTTTTCACAAAAAACGTCCCTGATTTTTTGAGATTGCTTGGCATCCCATATGCTCAATTCTTGAGAAAAATCTCATCTTAATTGCTAAGAATTTAGGACAATATGGACTAGCAGAGAGGTTTTTGCAGCAAAGATATAAATTTAACACTCAGAAAACCCTGAACACTATCGAAGTACAAGCAGATGTAAGTAAGTTATCTCTTGCTTCTATTTAAAGGGATCTATAAAAAAACACCAGTTTTAGCCAGAAGAAAAGTTACTGAGGCAAGATATAGTACTGGAACACTGGAAGAGAGGAACAGCAAGTAGCATCTGATACCGCACAACGTTTTGATCAATGTTTGAACCCCTGCATGGGTTTAAGCAAAACAGCTATAATGTTCGAATGCTCATACAGTTACCAGGTCAGCAGAGTTAAATAACAAGTCTGTTCTTAAATGTAAGAAGTAAAAGAAGTCCTTTAATATCTGCAGATACCAGTAGGCTACATTGTGCAGGGCAAGCTCCTAGGTTGTCTCCCTTTAATATCTGCTCTTACTGGCTACCTTGTGCAGGGCAAGCTCCTAGGTTGTCTTAGTATTTGGATATGCAAATATTCGGGCAAAGGAAAACTCATCCCTCCCTTCCCGCGAGATCGAAGAATTGATTTTTATTCCAACTTTTATTACATTTACTCTATCGTTTATTATTTATTAATATTAATAATTATCACATTCACTTCATTACTTTTAACTTTTAAACATTTCAACAGAATATTTTATTTCACAGCAAAGAATCGCACAAAAAATATTTCTTTCTGATATAGGACTGTCTCCAAGTTGTGACAACTTGGCATGGCAACCGCTGTGACAACTTCATAGAACACATCTTCAAAAACAATGCTCCTGAAAGGCCTCTGAAGAGCACTGTTGTGAATACTGTGATTATGGAAGTTACTAAAAGCTTTCAGAAGCCTAATAAAAAGGGACTTGATCTCAAGGACCTCCTGCTTAGATTCTTTTTTATGTGAAAATAAATCAAATTCTACAAATAAATCAAGATCCTTTGGAAAATGGTACTGTTCTACTAGCTCAAATTGACTCATAGGAATGAATGAAACTCATTAACACACTTTCTTTATCAGATAAGGATATTACCTTTCCTGTCTGGGGTATGGCATTTTTCATTATCCTTGCCACATTTGCAATTGGGAGATAAATATCTTGTTCTCTAAAACTCTCTTTTGAGCCATTTGTATCTTCATGATCATTCATGCTGTCCTCTGTGTCTAATGAAATAAAGAAAAGTTAGTAAAAAATGCATGTGACAGACAATTGGCCACAATTAAGTGAAATTTGAAATCTTACAATGAGAGATTAAGAACTCCTGAAAGACCAAAATATTAAAATTGCAGGAAAAAAAAAACACTGATAAAGCACTAGGGTACTTACGTATGTGTTTTATATCATCTTTATCATATTGCGTACACAAATGAAGGTAGTACCTAACTGGAATTATAAATGCTATTATAAACACTTTTTTTCCCAACATCACAAAACAGCACTAATGTCATGTCAAAATGAAAATTCTTTCCTAAGACACCTTTTTTTTTTTGAGGGATTCCATGTCAACATTGAAAAATCCCAAACCCTATCTTCAAACTGCAGGCAAAGTATTTTACATGGAGAGGTATTATGAACACAACAACTACAAGATCTTGGCTTTACAGAAGAGAATAAAGAGCTGTACAAAAAGCAGAAGCAAGTACAGATGCAGAGAGAAAGAGTATTTACTAATGCTTCTTACCATCATGAGGCTGTATCACATAGTGACTGCTGCCAAGGTAATCTCCAGAAATTCCTAACTGAGAAGCATCTGTCGTAGAGCTATCGCCATCCATCTATAAGCAGAAGAAGCAAACCTTTCAGATACTCATTTTTTTCACACCGTAAGTGCATCCATTGATGAAAAATAGCACTTTAATTAACTCAGAAATACAAGACTGATTTATGTAAAGTATAAACAAGCCTCTTGCCATGTGAGAATGGTATTCTCTTCCATGGGTGCTGAACTTTAATTGTTTTGACTTCAATCAGTCCTTCAGATTCAAAGTACTAAAGAGCAATTCCTGCAGTGTGCTACTTTCATAAGAAAAATGCTAAATTAAGGGAACAATCATAACCTAAAGGAAGATTAGTTTACCGTATTTCATTAATGCAAAGGCTGGCACTTCCCGTAAAATTTATTTATGGAACAACCTACAGGCCATTACTAGATCACACATCAGGGTCGAGCATTTCAGCTTCTTGATTAAAATGCAAAATCATACTGAACTAAAACTCCCTTCATCATGGAAAGCAACTGTGACAAGTGATTTTGTTTTTCCTGTAAGAAATTTCTAAGGTCACCCTAGATTATTTTTGTAAGACTATGAACTAGAGGTCCCTTCCAACCTCAGCCATTCGGTGATTCTGTGGATTGCTTTTAATGATACTCTCTGAGCGTAGGACCAAACCCCAGCTAAACTCCATCTGTGAGCCTGAGCTCACGTGAGTCTTCAAACCACACAGTGTGGGGAAAAACGCCTGTTAGTTGCTCTCGATGGCAAAAGCAGCAGAGCTGTTTGGTTCAACTCCCCGCAGCCTCAGCCAGAGGCAGAGGCCGTGCACAGGAACACACCATTCACACAGCACACACATGTATACACACACAGATGCACATATACACACGCAGAGCAACCAGGCTGCCAACAACAGCCTGCCCTGCACAGGCCAAGGCATGTGTTTTTCTGAATATCCCTCCAGGCTGAATCCCACTCCCAGGCTCCCCAACTGCCCTCCCTGCAGTTCCCACACGGAGCACTCCCTTCGCTCATGTCACCCTCCAGCGACACCGCTCTGGCCGAGGCAGCTGCCAACCTTCTCCCAGCCAACCTCAGGGCCGGCTCCGCATCCTTGCCCTCCCGAGGCACTGGCCACTCCTGGGGGTCTTTAAGGTGGTGCTTTCCTTTGCTTTCCCCGCTTCCATCCTGCCTCACTTCTCCTATTGTTCCCACAGGCAGCCTTCTTGCTCCTCTCGCAACATGTGGCGGCTTAAGAGAAGTCTTCTCCTTGGAGCTTTAGACTGGTTTAATAAGTAATTTAAGTACTAGTAGGAAGAGGGGGACCCAAAGAACCAGTGCTTTCCCCTAGCTGTAGAGCCCATTCCAGGCGGCCCTGGCGACCTCCCCTTTCCAGCTGCCCATCCTACCATCCCCCTCGGAGCGGGGCATAACCACCACCATTTCTGGCAGCCGTTGATCGGTAAGTCTCAGTGATCTTATTTACTTCCTAAGTAAGACCCCAAGCCTAAGGTTTTCACAGTGTTGCACTAAACTGCAGCTGTGACCAGAGGCTCTTCCGCAGCCTCGTGCTTTGAGGAGCGGGAGCCTGGCACCCTGCCTCCCTCTGCGAGGGCAAGGAGGATGCAGGTCTCCCCATTTCTCTCAAAAAGTTCACACCCGTTAGCAAGGACTTCCCATAAGCGAGCAGCACTCTAACAGACCACTGCCTTCTACATCCACATTTTGTCACTATTTTGTGTCACATGTGCAAACCCTTTAGCCCATGCTGGCTGTTACCATGTTACTCTTGGTCCTTCTGGAGGGCTAACAAATTCTTACAGTCACCATCACCAGCTGCTCAGTAGAAAGCCTAGACCCGCACAAAATCATGGCAGACAACAGCTCATCTTTGAAAAGGGTTATTTTAGCAGGGCCAAATTTAAGCTTGAATTCAACTTTGCAACCTTTTAAAAATGCTTGAATAATCTTGGCATTTTTCCAGTTGAAGATGCCTTGAAAATTAGTATAATAATAAACCTTTGTAAAATATTTAACTCCCATGTGTCATTTCTTTTTAAAAATATAATATATATAATAAAAATATAAAATATAAAAATACAATTATTTTTCTTTTTTAAAATTGTGTTTTTGCAGTTGTCCTTTAATAGCACTACTTTTAAAGAGCAGAAATAATGCAGAAACTATGGGGACAGGAGTTCCCAGCATACACAAAACTCTTTTCATGTTGGCTCCAACATCCAGAGGCTTCTTCGAACATATTTACACCCACAGCATCAGATCTGCCTTTATTCCAACTTTTCCTGGCCATATTCACCATCAAACAATTCTATTAACAACCTGTTGTTTACCTTTTTACTCGAAAATTAGCTCTTCTGTTCCCTTGCTACATGTACTTCATTTAGTTCTTCTTTCTCCTGACCAACACTTCCCACTCTCCTCCTCCAGCAGTTGTTTCCAATCAGAATAGTTGGCCTTACTGTCAAAATAGACAGGGAGATGTATGTACAGAGACATGTAAAACCTGATTAACTCAATTGCTGTCTAGGTACCTCAAGTGTCTTTGGAGGAAGCAGTAGTAGCAACTCAAGCCCCCAAGGATAGAGGTGAACAGCACAACGTAGAGATGCTGTGACAAATCACTGCTAGTTTGTCCAGTCAGTTTGGCTCTAAGGATCTGGCAGAAGTTTTGTGGTGTCTTTCTTCCTCCTCATTTCTCACTGGTTATTCCCAAAGAGACTTCACTTGTTCCCAGACCAGGAGCAGGCAGAAAGGGAACGTCAGTCTTGTGCTATTTTTAAATCCATCTTGAAACATGAGTAATTTGACCTCTCTTTGACTCAACCTTTGGCTGTGGCCAGAAGTACTCGGTTTTGCTTGCAAACTCGTAAGCAACATCTAGGACTGCACTTGGCTATAGATGCACCAATAACCTGAATGCTGTTTCTACTCAGGACAATATTACAGCTGGATGCAGCCTCAGGAGCTGCTCCAGAGAAAAAAACTCTCCTTCCTCTGCGCTGTGCACAGTATTGCACACATGCAGATGCTGCTTCTCCTAAAGCACTTCTGATCCTTTTCAGAGGCTCATTCTGGATTCACCTCTCACAGCAGCTCTAGCCAAAGCAAAGATGGTGGTTTAAGCACTTGCTTCCCACGTGCCAATGTGTCTGTGTTTTGTGAACTCGTTGGAGATTTAACTTTGCTTTTCAATTTTCCCAAGGGCCTGGCGTCTGCTTACTCAGCTTGCTGGGATGATAAGTATCATGGCTGCACTGCAAGAGAACCACAATCCTGTATGTCAAGAACAGCCAAGGAAGTTGTTCTGCAGGGGTAGGAGATCCCAACACAAGCCCCACAACATAATGAAACTTGAGGACATTTCCTAGTCTCAACATACAGGGAACTGTACGGAGAAACAGCAAAGCAAGGGGAGATTTTTGCCCCTCATCTCCATCCCACCCACACATCTAAAGAGCTTAACGATACTGCAAGCACCATGGAAGCTTCAAATGGCATCACTCACCACCAAAACAGCCATTATTACTTCCACAACTTGAAGTGATTATATTCTGCAGCTTGATATATTCCAACAGCTACCCCTAAATTTAAACCAGGATTTTCTTGCAGTCTTGTTCTCAGTTTTCGCTTTCTGATCCACCTGAGAATTTCAGTCAGGATTATGGATGCCACAATCATTAAGGGTTACATTCACTCGGCCACAGATCTACTGTAAATGTCATGTTCTTCTGTCCCTCTTGCCCCCTTTTATTTTGTCTTCTATGAAACACACCCTCTGCAGTGTTTCCTTCTCTCAGGTTTGCAATATTCTTCAAATTTCTGCAGTGATACACCATCTAGTTACCCTACTAATATTTGTGAGCCCTGAGGATGACAAACATGACCTTGCCTAAAACCGCAGCTGCTGCTACCCCAATTTCCTCAATGAACAGGTCTGGTATGTCTCAAGCACTACGGTTTTAATTTCAGATGTTTAAAACTCAAATGCAACCATTTAAATCACCACATATTCAACACTGAGTATCAACCTAGCATAAGGTCCGTAGTACATACAGCACAATCTAATGCTGAGAAAACACTGCTATGAATACACTGATGCTAATTAGCTTCCATTTTTCTAAACCTTACGCTGAAGTTACTCTAAAAATGCAGCAGTGCAACGTAGCAAGAAACATTCAACCTACAGTAACTGAAGTCATTGGGAAACCCAGAAATACAGTCCCTTTAAGCCTGGTGCTTTTAGTAGGGAGGAGAGAAAAATAAAACAAAAACTTCTTTAGATGGAACCAGATGCTAAATTGCATAAACAAAAATCTTGAAAGATTTAATTCTCAAAGGTTCAGGAGGTTAAGTCTTCTGCTCAGATTTTACGTTACTTCCGGAGCTATTACAACAGCACTTTCAAGGGGAAAAAACAAAATTAATTATTTAATTATTTCAAGGTCATATATCCTATTTGCTTGGGAGTTTCAGCACACAGATGTTACGAACGTCTTTTAATACAAGGCTATGCCCAACATCTGTATGGCTACTGAATCATGGCAGGGGGAAGAGGGGAAGGAGGGTTTCCAGAACATTGATATAGCATCAACTTCTACGCAAACTTGAAAAATAAACAAGCAAGCAAATAAAATAACATCCTCCAAATCTATCAAAAAACTCACTACCTTCAACCTGTTTAGGAAGGCACTGAAGTAACTCTGTGTGTGTTTGCTGACACACACACACATCAAGTGAACCAGAACTAAGAACTAAGTAAATCAGGAGCGACAACATGTCAGCCTGAAGTGACCATGCCATCGTCTGACTTCATCAGCGATGGGGAGAGAGCAAAAAGCACAGGACACTGATCCAAATACTCAGCAATGTATTTTATATATATATGGATTGGTTTCATTTGTTTGTTTGCTTGTTTTTTAAACTCTGGTAGAGAAGAGCAGTGCCAAGAAGACTCAAATTAACAGATCCAGGGGAAGTAACCCAAGTAACACACTAAGAGGGAAACATTTCAGATTAAGACATCAAAGAAAAAACCTAAGTGGCAAGTGAAGGTATGTACAGCTTCACACTGCCATCTGGCAGAAAATTTTCAGGGAGTTGCTTAAAAAAGAAAAAAGCTTCTGTCAATTGCCCACAAC